CAGATGTGCAAGAAGACAGCGTGACCTTTGGGTGCTTTGCTCCTCCTCTGTGGTCCCGTGAGGCTGCCTTGGTGCTGGCCTTTGGGCTTGCAGATGTGACGCTGCCCTTGATGCCTTGGGGGAAGGATGGGTGATGGCATGTATCCCCGCAGTGGGATGGAGCCCGCATGCCCCACAGAGTGTTGCCCAGACACTCGTGGGTGCTGTGCTGACAGCCAGAGTCCAAGAGGAATGAAAGGTGAAAAGAGAAGAAAAAAAGGGAGAAGTGAAAAAAGAAAAGGGAAGAACAAACAAAAGAGAAAATAAGAGAAGAGAAAGAGAAAAGGAAGATGAAAGAAGAAAAGGAAAAGGAAAAGAAAAGGGAAAGGGAAAAGGAAAAGGAAAGGGAAAAGGAAAGGGAAAGGGAAAGGGAAAGGGAAAGGGAAAAGGAAAACGAAAAGGAAAACGAAAAGGGAAAGGAAAATGAGAATAAAAAAAGGGAATATAAAGTAAAAGAAAAAGAGAGAGAAGTCTCCTGTCTCCAGGCAAGAGAAACCCCGTTTCTCTCAGAGAGGATGCCTGTACCGTGCATTTCTGAACTTTCTCCCATTAAGAGTGACCATGCTCAACAATAGATCCCTGGTATATGACTGTAGTTTCTGCACATTAAATGTGTGCGTGATTGTCTTTGGGCACAAATGAGCACATACGGCAGGAACTGTTTGCCTTTATATCCTATACTGTTTGGAAAGCTATGAGAAAGAAAGGTGAATAAGCTTGGTATGGAAATGTTTCTTGTGGTAAACTGGGCTCAGATTCTATGCCATGAAATGCACCTTCCCCACATGGGAACTGAGACGAGGGTCCCTGCACGTGGTGTGTTTCAGGGATAGCTCAAGAAGACCAGTGCATGACTGGATGGTCCTGGGAGATGCAGAAAACAGCACGTGGTACAAATGGGAACCTCCTCCTTTATGAGCATAGCAAAAGACATGACCTGTGATCATGTATCAAATTAATGGGAAACTGCCAAGGAGCTGGCCGGGTAATTGTAAAACTGCACCATGTCCCTGCTTTGGGGAAAGAGCAGCAGATCCCCATCATCACAGGGAAGTGCTTGGAGAATTCCCTTCTGCAGTCTGGAGAAAGCATCGCTAGAACATGTTCTCATGCTGTTAAGACCCCGTTCGGGCCCATGACTGGAAATGGAGGGCTGGCTGGCTGCCTGGTGCACAGCGCATTGGCATCTTCCTGCTCCTCGTCACTGCAGGAGGTGGTGTGCTCACAGCCAGAGTCCATGTCGTGGTCCTGCTTCCTGACCAACTGACAGAGCTGGAAGAGCAGCACGAGGGCTCCAGCAAAGACCCCAAACTACCCCCTGTCCCATGCAGTGAAGCCCACAGCTTTCTTGGCAAACCTGCTCGGCTCTTGGATCATCTGCTCAGGCTCCTGCTGCAGCTGAGCCGTCTGCTGCCTCAGCTGCTCCTCACACTGCTGCATCTGCTCTTGCATTGGCCAGAGCTCTCTGGTCACTCCTCAAACTACACGCACACTATGAAGCTTCACCTACCCCTAAAACATCTCCTCCTCGCCTTAACTATGACTTCCGTGAATATGGAAGAGGTAGACTGGGCTGGCTGTTTAGAAGGCGAGGGGCAGGGGGACCTCCCTGGGCACCTTTTTGTTGCCAAAGAGGAAGTGGTGAAATTGCAGAGGCCCCTGCTGCGTGGGGGGCAGCGGTCAACAACAGAGAGGGCACAGCGTGTGCACGAGCTACTCAGGGAGGATGGGGTCATTTGCTGGTGGTGCTAAGCCGCAGAGCCCGCCAAAGTGATGCTCTGGGGGTGGGACTAGAGAGAAGCATGGGCACTGCTCAAGGACGTACACGAAGCACTGCCTCAAATGGCGCAGCAGCCCGCTGCGCCCAAAGCCCATCTGTGGCATGACATGGGCGAGAGCTGTGCCCAAAGCAACTGGGTTCCAGCATGAAGGCTCATGCCAAGGGCACGGAGCGCTGCACCCTGCACTAGTGCTGGTGGCTGACAATGGCATCTTGCTGCGCCTTTGGGGTGGCTGGGGGTGTTGTTGCTTACCGCCAGCCAAGGGCCTGTGCTGGGAACGATGGCTAGCACAAGCTGAGCCCTGCTGGGCCCGCTACAGGAAGAGGCAAGATTAAGTGTAATAAGAGCGCATCCCCCTGAGAGCCCCTAAACCCTGCAGGCCCTGGCTAATGGACAGAAGGCCCCTGCAGTAAAACTCCTGTTAGCTCGCTAAGAAAGCAAAGGTCATGCGTGGGAGGAGTCTA